AGGATTTAGGGCCCTGCGTGATTCTTTTTGGTGATGAGGTGGTGTGTGAAGGGTTTAGGGTGAGGATTTAGGGCTCTGCGTGATTTTTTTTTGTGATGAGGTGGTGTGTGAAGGCTTTAGGGTGAGGACTTAGGGCTCTGCGTAACGTTTGTTTTTTGTGATGAGGTGGTGTGTGAAAGGTTTAGGGTGAGGATTTAGGCCTCTGCATGACTTTTTTTGTGATGATGTGGTGTGTGAAGGGTTTAGGGTGAGGATTTAGGGCTCTGCGTGATTTTTTTGTGATGAGGTGGTGTGTGAAAGGTTTAGGGTGAGTATTTAGAGCTCTGCGTGGTTTTTTTTGTGATGAGGTGGTGTTTCAGGGCTTTGCATGGTTTTTGTTTGTGATGAGGTGGTGTGTGAAGGGTTTAGGGTGAGGATTTAAAGCTACGCAAAGCCTTAAATCCTCACCCTAAACCCTTGAAATACCCCCTTATCACAAAACAAATTCATGCACACTACCCTCAGAATCCGGCAAGGAGCTCGTTGCAATCGGCGCGCGGCGCCGCCCGCCGCAGGCCGTTGAGTTCACAGGGTTATGGTTTATAGAATTAGTAGACTTTTATACGTTTTGTGTTGAGTTTCAAGAATTTCAAGAGTTCATAGGGTTTGCAGGGTCTCTGGGTTTTATATGCTTTACCAGCGAATAAAGAAGGTTTATAAGTTTCATATGGGTTTAGGGTTGCAGAGCTTAACTTCAACAATATGTAGAGTTTCACATTTTATCTGCTTAATGTTGGACCTGCTTTAATAAGTTACCCCCCCCCCCCCCCCTCAACAGTCGCGACCCTGAATAAAAAAAGACCCCAAACAGTCGGGGGGGGGGGGTTCAGGAGATTGAGTGTTCTGTGATGAGTTGTTGAGTTGTCCACCTCTCAGCAGCTTTTGAGATATCTTTCAGCCCCTCCTGTTCCTCTTGGCCTTCAGGGTTTTGAGAGAGCCTCAGCAGCACTTAGGGGGCTTAATTAAGAGCAGTGAGGGCTATTCGTGGCAAGAGACTTCTTGAGGGTTTGAGGGTTTAGGAGAGTTTAGAGAACACTGAGAGCTGCATCTGAGGATGAAGAAGTGCATCAAGATGGCCGTGGTCCTGAGCTTCCTGCTGCTGAGTGCTTTGAGCACTCAGAGCCACTGGTCAGCACTCAGAGGGTCGAAGAGCAGGTTTAGGAGCAGTCTGAGTGTTCTTGCAGTCAGGACAGAAGCAGTTGAACCATTCAGCCTTTGTGCATGAGCGACCATTCAGCAGCACTTTTGCGGCTTCTCAGCTTGTGTGTTAGCCTCTTCTTGAGCAGCCATGAGCTTTCCTCCTGCGAGTCCCTCTTATTTCCTTCAGCCTCCACCAGCTCCTCAGGCCTTGTTTCAGGAAGGCATTGGCCGTCATGAGAAGCTGAAGTTCAGCAGGCTGGGCTCAGAGCCTGAGATCTTCTGTGAGCACTGCTGGAAGAACTGTAAGAAGTCTAAGGTCTTCCTGAGCAGGTTGCCTTTTCAGACCCGGTGCATTGAGTGTGGTTCAAGCTGGACTGCTGAGCAGATCTATGAGTACCACACTAAGATTATGCCCTTGGCTGAGGGCTTGCCTTGGAGGCAGCACCTGAACTACGACTTCGCAGTGGTGCCTAAGCCAAGGGGTCAGGGCGGGCCCCCCCCCTTTGCACCTGAGGTCCGTCGTCAGGCCTCTATGCACGGCTCTCAGGGCCGTCCTGAGCTACATGAGCCCTCTGAGCAGCCCTCCACAGACTCGGATGAGGACAAGCTCTTGGATGAGGCTAAGGAGACCCATGCCGAGAATGAGGCGAGGATGGTTGAGCTCCTCAGTCAGCTCGATGGCTCAGGCTATTCTGAGCACCAGAAGAGGGGCTACCTGAAGGAGGTCGAGGACATTAAGACCACCTCTGAGAGAATTCAGTACGACCTTGAGAAGAAGATCAGGGAGCTGCGAGGCCAGATTGAGCAGCTTCAGGAGCTGAGTTCCGAGGTGAGTGCCTTCGTTGAGAGTGGCCCCATCAGTGCGGCTGAGGAGAAAGGCAAGGAGCTGGCTGAGATCTGGCAGAAGAGGGCTGAGGAGAGAGCTAAGACTTCTGCCTCATCCTCTAAGTTTCCGGCCAAGGCACCACCTCCTACCTTGCCTCAGGAAACCGGTGCTGAGGGATCTTCTCAGACATCTGCTCTGAGTGAAGAAGAGGAGAAGGTCCTGAGGGAGCTGCTTGAGAAGAAGGCAGCCTTTAAGCACCAGTGACTGAGATGTTTCTCAGCCCCCGCTCAGCGAGCACTATGAGCTGAGCGTTTTTTTAAGAACCGTGAGCCTGTGATCTCAGGACCCCAAAAAAGGTGCGAGTGAGTGAGCTCTTGTCTGAATCTGAGCTAGCCAAAGCCTAAGCAAAGCTACTAAATAAGTAAGTACTGAGCCTCCCTAGTTAGTCTTGCCCATCTCAGGTCCAGTCACTGCCGAGTTGGGCGCGAAGCTGGCTCAGTTCAAGGGCTCAGGCCTGGACTTCAGTGGAGGAGTCTTTGAGTTGCACCTTGAGTTCCGTTCGAGTGCCTTTGAGCTGCTTTCAGTTTTCGAAACCATGTGTGTGCAACTAAGTAATTATCTGAGGCATCCCTCTTCTTCCTGAGTGTGGTGCTCCTTCAGTGCTACCATGCTCAGAACATCAAGGACCGAACCCCTAATTAAAACTAAACCCTAAACCCCCCCTAAACCCTAAAACCTAAAGCCTAATACCCTAAACCCTAAACCCTAAACCCTAAACCCTAAACCCCCCGCAATTAAACCCTACACCCGAAACCCGAAACCCTAAACCCTATCCCTTCCCCCCCAAACCCTGACTAAACCCTAAAGGGTTTAGGGTTTGGGCTTGAGGCTTTAAAGGGTTTAGGCTTTAGGGTTTGGGGTTTCGGGTTTTGAGTTTAGACTTCAGGGCTTAGGGCTAAGGGCTAAGGGTTTAGGGTTGAGGCTGCAGGGTGTAGGGTTTAGGCTTTAGGCTTTAGGGAAACCCCTTAGGCCTAAGGCCTTCAGGATTTAGGGTAACCCCTTCGCAGGACCACAACCTCAGTGTCAGCTCAGACACGGACGAGGCTCAGGTTTAGGGGTTAGGGTTTAATTAGGGTTTAGGGTCTAGGGCTTAGGGTTTAGGTTTTAGGGTTTAGGAGGGTTTAGGGTTTAGGGTTTAGGGTTTAGGGTAATTAGTTAAACCCTAAACTTAAAACCCGAAACCCTAAACACTAAACCCTAATCCCTATCCCTTCCCCACCTAACCCTGGTTTAGGTAACCTTTAACTTAAGCCTAAAGCCTAACACCCCCTGCATCTCAGACAAGATCATAATAAAAATATATAAATATTTATATATATATATGTATTTCTAAATATATATGTATTAATACATAAATACATATATATATATATATATATTCTAAAACCATAAACCCGGTGGAGGCTGAGATGATGAAGATGGAGCAAGAAAGGATGCGGCAGGCATGACTCAGCACCTCAGAGCTTTGCTTGCTTTGCATTCTGAGTGACAGCAGTGTTTCCTTTCAGTGCTGGTGCTGAGCAGAACTAATGATAATTAATTAGAGAGCAGCAGAACAAAGGTATTTCAGGCTTCAAGTCTCTCTCCTTCTCCATAAAGTTCCTGAAAACCGAAGGACCGAGCCCCGGGCCCCGGCAGACTTGCATTTTAGCGGGCCCCCAGACAAAGGTATTAATGTATGTCCGGAGGCCTCCGGAAGGTCCCCCCCGATGGCCTCGGCAAGCTACCCCCCGACCCTGGAAAGGTTGAGGCTTCAGGCTTCAAGTATCTCCTCTTCTCGAGAAAGCTTTTGCCTTCCTGAAAACCGAAGGACCGAGCCCCGGGCCCCGGGAGACTTGCATTATAGCGGACCGCCAAACAAAGGCATTAATGTATGTCCGGAGGCTTCCGGAAGGTCCGCCCCGATGGCCTCGGCAAGCTACCCCCAGACCCTGGAAAGGTCGAGGCTTCAGGCTTCAAGTATCTCCTCTTCTCGAGAAAGCTTTTGCCTTCCTGAAAACCGAAGGACCGAGCCCCGGGCCCCGGGAGACTTGCATTATAGCGGACCACCAAACAAAGGTATTAATGTATGTCCGGAGGCCTCCGTAAGGTACCCCCTTTCCGGATATGATTTGCCTATGGAAACATATAGTTTTTAATAAGGAATTTATGAAGAAAAGGCGCCCTGAAAAAAGAAGATTTTCGGAGATCCTGGGAAGGTCGAGGCTTCAGGCTTCACCTGAAAACCGAAGGACCGAGCCCCGGGCCCCGGGAGACTTGCATTATAGCGGACCACCAAACAAAGGTATTAATGTATGTCCGGAGGCCTCCGTAAGGTACCCCCTTTCCGGATATGATTTGCCTATGGAAACATATAGTTTTTAATAAAGAATTTATAAAGAAAAGGCGCCCTGAAAAAAGAAGATTTTCGGAGATCCTGGGAAGGTCGAGGCTTCAGGCTTCAAGTATCTCCTCTTCTCGAGAAAGCTTTTGCCTTCCTGAAAACCGAAGGACCGAGCCCCGGGCCCCGGGAGACTTGCATTATAGCGGACCACCAAACAAAGGTATTAATTAAAGTACCTCATAGCTTTCATGAAGACAATTACGTTCTTAGATGGAACAGATGACAGTCTGTGCAGGTGTTCCAATTAAGACTGAAAGGAGGTGGCCCTGAGAACTCAGAGGCCTTGGTGCCTGCAGAGCCAGATGCTCAGACAACACCTCAGAAGGTTCAGTTCGGACTGAAGAAATTCTTTGGACACCTGAGCAGAAGCAGTCAGCATCACCAGTCCTTCAGCAACTCCAGACACTCTACTCCAGGAAAAACAAGAGCAGGGCTCAGCTAGAAGCAGAAGCCACCATAGAAGCTTATGAGCAGGAGATTGCTCAGAAAGCCACTGCGAAGCAAGAAAGGGCCTTTGCTGAGAAGAGGCGAAGGCTAGTTTCAGGCAAGCAAATGCATCAGGCCGGCCTGCCTGAGCACCTTCAGAGAAAGAGAAAGGCCACCGAGAAAAGGTTCGAGCTCTCGGCCAACAAGAAGAGACTCATAGCTGAGGACATGGTGTCTCAGAGGTCTCAGTTTGCTGCAGAGAAGGATTTCTGGCCTGCCATGGAAAAGAAACACGGGCTCAGCAAGCAGACTCTCAGCAACATACTGAGCAAGCGAGAACAGTACCAGAAACTCGCTCAGCAGCCTCTGCAGAGGAGATCCACTAAGAACAGGCAGAGGGTGAGGGCTGGAGGGGCAGGTCGAAAGGTGCCATACGCTGAGACCTTAGCAAGTTTGTCTCAGTGGCTGGCCTTAGAGAGAAGCTTTGGCCACACTATCAGCAAAGCAGACATCATGGCTGAGTTTTCTACTCAGCTCAGAATGGCAGCCACAAAAGACAGGAAGCTGGCTGAGGACCCAAAGCTCTCAACTTTGCAAGGTGCCAAGTATCTCCAGGATGCTACTGAGAAGGAGGAGAGACTCAGGAAGCTGAGTGGGAGCAAGTCCTACAGCAAAAGCTTCACTGCGAGAGTGCTGAAGTGGATCAATGCTAAGTACACCACGACTGAGGTCGTGAGCAACATCTCAGCTCTTGAGAGTGAGACAAGGTGCAAGCTCACGTGGCAAGAGATAGACCACTGCCTGTGGTTGGCAAGCCTCAGCACCTTGCCTGAGCTCTCGGCTGCTAAGGTGGTGGTAAGGCCTGAGGAGTTCATCGCTCAGAGGCCTAAGCTGGTTTTGGGCTTCTCAGACCAGGTGCCTCTGTGGGCCAAGACCGCTGGCAAAAAGGCAGTCTTTTCAGCCTCTGAGATGCACTTGCCTGAGCACAGATCTGATTTCTCAGAAGTCAGACAAGCAATTGCTGAGGTCATGCACGACCCCGCCCAAGCAGACATGCTTGTAGCACCTTTTAGCACTCCTCGCACGCCTCAGAGCACACTGTCCGCAGGCAGCCAGACACCTCAGCTTGCCAAAGCAGCCAGCACTGAGTCCCTTGCAACACCAAAGAAGAAGCTCAGCTTTGACCAAGCACAGACCCCTGAGAACTCTCAGGCAGACACGGCAGCAGCAGCAGCAGAGCTTCAGACAAGCAAGGACGCAGCAGCTGAGGCACAGCCAGAGGCAAACCAAGCACAGACCCCTGAGAACTCTCAGGCAGACAAGGCACGAGCTGCCCTGCCTCAGGCCGGCAGCTTGACAACACAAGGCTTCTCAGCTGCGGACAGGTACCGCATCACCTATGAGGCCAGACAAGTCCTTTTCGAGGTCTGTGCTGAGAGCACCACTGAGATCAAAGGCCACGTGGCTAAGGGCCTCTTAGTGGTTCCTGGTCAGTGGGCCAGGCTCAGCAACATCAGTGCTGATGGCAAGTGGATCCAGACTGAGACCTTCCAAGTCGGCAGTAAGACCGTCACTCACTCAGCTGGAGCCTCAGCTGGACGAGCTCTTGAGTCCTACAGAAAGCTAAGGGCTAGCCACCCTGAGCTTGTGGCTGAGGTTGACATTATGTCTCAGCCTGCAGCCAACGTAGACTCAGTCATTTTGAGCTGGGTACTGCAGGCTCAAGCTGAGGAGTTCCCCTGCTCAGTCTGGCAGAGAGACTGCTTCAGCTCTGTTTTCTCAGCCTCTGCGACTGAGTCCATGGCAGCTGCTCAGCAGATCAGTTGCTTGGTGGCTGCTAAGTGCACCAGCAAGCTTCAGATCACTGACTCCGACTTCGCTAAGCAGTTTAAGTCCTTTGTCAGAAAGAAGCTGGTTGAGCTCAGGACTGAGTTTCAGGCCTCCAGACGGGACTTGACTGAGGTGTGGCGAGTCGGAGCAAAGGAGCTGGTCACTGCCGTGGTGTGGGCTCAGCAGAAAATGAGGGACAAAAACCTCTATGATGAATGGGTCCTCAGGGCTGCAGTAAGAAACGGCCTCCTGGTGTGGAGGCCCAACCTTCAGACAGGCCAACTTGAGGAGCTGACTTCTCAGCCTTGGGCTAAGGAGTTAGGACTTGAGATGGGCAGTCGAAGGTTCCCAGTCGCCTGGCTCAGCGACAGGCTCAAGTGGCTCAGTGAGGGCAAGCCTAAGGTCCCTGACTGGGATCTGAGCCACACGGCAGCCAACATTTCAGAGCTGCAGAGGTGGGACTACTACAACCCTGAGGAGGATGCTGAGAATGAGGTGGATGAGCAACCTGACTTAGACTGTGACTTCGCAGCTGAGCTGGAGTTGCCTTTGCAGAACAGCCTCAACTTGAGAATCCATCCACGACTCAGGAGAGCAGCCTTGAGGAGAGCTGTTGCAGAGCAGGAGAATGCAAAGACTCTAGGTCGCAAGCTTGACAGAAGGCCTGAGAGAAAGGAGAGGGCATCTGACAGGAAGGAGTTGAGAGGCAAGCTGGTGCAGGCACTGAGAAGCAAGCTTCAGGGCCACAGCAGAGCCGAGCTCTTGCAGTCCATAGTGCCACACGTGAAGCCTAAGGGTGTGAAGCTCAGCTCTGTCAGCAAGCCTTCAGCAAAGAACAAGCCTTCAGCAAAGAAGAAGGCTTCCCTCAAGCTCAAGCCTTCAGCAAAGAAGAAGGCTGCTAAGAAGCACCTGGCGAAGCAACTTGCAGACAAGGAGATGCCTACGAAGAGGGTTAAGGGCAAGCAAGCACCTCAGGGCAAGTTTGAGGACCACCCTCCACTCCCTCCGCCAAGTCAGCCTCCAGCTGACGGTCCAGCCCCAGCCTGACTTGAGCAGACAGTCGTCTGCTTTGCTGAGAAGGCAGGCTCTATTCAGTTTGGCATTCAGGCAAAGCCACTGACTACAGCAAGGGCAGGTACTCAGTCCTGACGACCTCAGGTGTTCACAGCATTGCAGAGGAGCACTTGGCTCTGCTAAGCAGCAGACCCAACACGAAGCCATTCAGCTGGCCAACCTTCAGGTCTCTCGGCAGAGGCGACTCCCAGGGCATGCTGAAGGCCTTGTTCTGCTGGCCTGAGCTCTACAGCACTGACACCGAGACAGACGAGATCAACTGCCATGTCTTGCTGGTGGATGAGTTCAAAAACCGTAAGCTGCTCGAGGACCAGTCCCTGTGGCTTGGCTGGCAACTGCTCAGATGGGGCTTGAGCAAAGCCGGGCTTTCCTTGCCTGAGGACTTCAGGTGCACCTGTGTGGACCCAGGCTTGCCCTACCTCCTGACTCAGCAGGGTGAGGACGGGCCACAAACTGAGTCCAGGAAAGCCTTCCTCAAGCGAACAGCTGAGCACTTTGAGCTCATCTTCGTGCCAATCTTTGCCTCCAACCACTGGACTTTGCTGGTTGCCCAGAAGGACCGCAGTGAGCAGACTCAGGGCTTCAAATGGAGGATGTATGACTCCATGGCTAAGCCCTCGGAAGCTACTGTGCGGACTCAGGTCATGATGGGAACCTTGTTAGACCCCGAGTTTCAGATGCCTGAGAAAGCCAACACTGAGCTTCAGGAGACAGGCTCCCTGACATGTGGCTTCTTTGTGCTCACCTGGATTGAGCAGGAACTCAGGGTTTTCAGAGGTGAGTGGCTCACCACCTGGGTACACTTCACAGTGAAGTGCTGGAGAGAGAGGCTTGGCAAGGCTCTCAGCTTGCTCAAGAAAGAGCTTGGCCTCAGAGAAGCTGAGCTTGCGAGCATGACTGCCAAGCTTGAGAAGCAGACCTTAGAGGCTGTGGCCAGGGTGTCCAAGGCTGAGAAGAGCCTTGAGAACACGAAGAACAAGACCTCAGCCTTGGCTTTAGCAGCTAAGGCTGCTGTCCAGAAGTACCAAGACAGGTTCACTTGGCAGTCCCTCTCTAAGGAGACAAAGGCTAAGGTCAGGTCCTTAGAGCATTCAGCCCGTGTCTGCTCCAAGTGCAGACACCAGAGCGGCTGCCTGGAGTGCGATCCTTTTAAGGCTCTGAGGTATCACCTTGCCAGAGAAGCCAGGGATGCTAAGCAGATCCCACTGCTTCAGACAGGAGAGACAGAGGGTTTGCAAACCTTCTTGAGAGTGTTGAGTTGAGCATAATTACCCTTAAGTCCTGCCTTTGGAGGAGACCTGCAAAAGCTTCTCCTTGAGAACAGCACCTGAGCCTGACTGTCAGGCCAAGACAGGACTGAGAGAGGGCTCGCAGACCTTCTTCAGAGTGTTTTGCTGAGCACACCCTTGACTCCTGCCCTTGCAGGAGGCTTGCAGCACCTGAGCCTGACTTTCAGGCCGAGACAGGACTGAGAGAGGGCTCGCAGACCTTCTTGAGAGTGTTCAGTTGAGCATACTGTTGAGTTCGGCCCTTGGAGGCGACCTGCAGTACCTGAGCTTGACTTTCAGGCCGAGACAGGACTGAGAGAGGGCTCGCAGACCTTCTTGAGAGTGTTCAGTTGAGCATTGAGCACACTCTGGAGTGCTGCCCTTGCAGGACACTTCCAGCACCCGAGCCTGAGTTTCAGGCTGAACAGAGCAGGTCGTTGAGTAGCAGGCTCAGGCAAGCTACAGGTGCCTGAGGCACCATTTTTGAAAGTTTCTGAGCCCAGAGGAGGCTTGTGAGCCAGCAGGAGGTGCAGAGAAATGAGATCTCTTCAGGGTTTTGGAACCAGATCTCAAACTAAGAACTTGACCTCAAAAACCATTAAAAAAAACAGGCCCGGCCCGAAATCTTTTCATTATAGCGGACCCCCAAAACAAAGGGTCCAGATCCTGAATAGCCGGAAAACTTTTCATAATAGCGTCCCCCTAGAATATTGCGGGTGCAACATTAATCGTTTATCTGAGGTGCTTAAGCAAGTATAGATTTCATATTTTTTTAGGGTTATAGAGTTTTTAGGTTTTATACGTTTGGTACAGGGCTGAAAAGGTCGATGAGATTCTTTTTTTAAGGGTTAAATAGTTTATATGTTTATTTGCTGTACAGAGTGCTTGAAAAGTCAAAGGATTCATTTGTTTTTTAGGGCTATAGTGATTATAACCTTTATATGTTTCATAGATAGTTGAAAAAGTTCATAAGATTCATATGGTTTTTTATGGCTATAGGGATTATAAACTTGTGCGTGTTTTATAGATAGGTGAAAAAAGCTCATAAGATTCATGCTGTTAGGGCTGTAGTGATTATAACCTGTATATGTTTCATAGATAGTTGAAAAAGTTCTTCAGATTCATATGGTTTTTATGGCTATAGGGATTATAAACTTGTGTGCGTGTGTGTGTGTGTGCTTTACAGATGGTTGAAAAAAGTTCATAAGGTTCATATGGTTTTTATGGCTATAGGGATTATAAACTTGTGTGTGCTTTATAGATGGTTGAAAAAAGTTCATAAGACTCATATGGTTTTTTATGGTTCTAGGGGTTATAAACTTTGTATGTTTTATAGATGGTTGAAACAAGTTCATAAGATTCGTATGGTTTTTAGGATTATAGAGTTCATATGCTTTATAGGTTTTATAGATGGTTAGGGAAAAGTTCATGAGATTCATATGGTTCTTAGGGTTATAGGGATTACAAACTTTATATCTGTTTTATAGATGGTTGAAAAAACCATAAGATTCGTATGGTTTTTAGGATTATAGAGTTCATATGCTTTATATAATTTTTTAATGTTTAACAGTTCACAGTGTTTGTTTGTAAGGCTGCCGCCGCAGCGCCTGCAAAGCGCCGACGAGTGTGAGCCTGCAGTACCTGGACTTAGGGTTTTGAAAGTTGAAGATAAACTCCTAGCTCTGAAGCCCCTAACCCCCGAATCACTAAACCGTAAGCCACCTGGTTAGCTTCAAGCAATTTACGGGGGTTGCAGGGGAGTGAGATCACGCAGGGCTTGGGGATGCTTACGTCAAAGGCTGCCTTAAGGGTTTCAAGTGCATCCTTCTTGCTTCCCTGCGGCGCCATCGATCTTGGTAAAGCTGCACTTGGCCTTCCTAGCGGCTGGGTGCAGCATTTGAGTTAGGGCGATCTGGGCGAGGCTCGGGGGTTGCAGGGGAGTGAGATCACCCAGGGCTTGGGGATGCTTACGTCAAAGGCTGCCTTAAGGGTTTCAAGTGCATCCTTCTTTCTTCCCTGCGGCGGATCGATCTTGGCAAATGCTGCACTTGGCCTTCCTAGCTCTAAACCCTAAACCCTAAACCTTAAACCCTAAACCATTATGGCTTTAGCCTGGCCGAGGTCCACTTCATGGCATTACAGGGCGACCGGTTCATTATAAACTGTGATTCTAAGTATGTGCCTTGTAAGGCTTAAGGCTTAGGGCTTAGGGCTTAGGGCTCAGGGTTGAGGGCTTAGGGTTTAGGGTGTAGACTTCGGATGAGAGATTGTAAGGCTCAGGGTGCTAGGGTTTTGAGTTTAGGCTTCGGGCTCCACTTAGTTCTCCAGGCCCGCAACGCGCGACATTGCTTGATCTTAATGCCTTGCAGGCGAACTTCACCCCTAAGCCCTAAACACCATACACCCTAAACCCTAAGCCCTAGAGCCTATCACCTACTCGTCCTACACTACATGCTTCGGTCCTTCTGCGCCTCCTCGATCTTGCTGCTTACGCCTAGCTCTGGAAAGAGCTGTCATGGGAATGAAGAAACAGTGACCTTACAGATGTGCTTAACTTAAACAAACGCATAGGGTAATTTCACAGCACGTACGACATGCCAGAGTCTTTCTGAAGCCGCAGCCAAACAGCGACTTTTTCACGCAGGCTGCACAAAAGAACAGGCATACACAGATAGCAAAGAGAAACAAATGAAAATAGGAATAATCAGAAATTCGCAGTTCGTAATGGCGTGCGGCTAAGCCTAGAACCGTTGGGCGTGAGATTTGTGTGCCATATGTAGGTGTAAATATGTATTTTCGTATTACGATATTTATATTCGCTCTTTTAAAGCAATAAGAAAAACCCAAAGCTAAATAGACCCGAAAGGCGGCGGGCTCATATATATATATATATGTGTGTGTCGAAAAAAGGGGTTTGTATATCAAACCCCAAACCCCAAACCCCAAACCCCAAACCCCAAACCCCAAACCCCAAACCCCAAACCCCAAACCCCAAACCCCAAACCCCAAACCCCAACCCCAAACCCCAAACTCCTAGCTGCAGCAAGGTACCGCTGCCTGCTTCTGCCTGCTTCTCGCGGTACGCCGCGACCATCAATGTAAACTTGCCTCCTTGTCTCCTCCCGGCCCTAAACCCTAAGCCCTAAACCCTAAACCCTAAACCCTAAACCCTAAACCCTAAACCCTAAACCCTAAACCCTAAACCCACCGCCTTCTCCAAACGCTGAGGAGCCAAGAGCCCTAACCCTAGCTACTATAGGGGTTGGAATAACTACTATAATAGTATTACCTTATGGCCTGAGTAATTATACTATAGTAACCCCCCAAAACCCTACTCTAATTCTTAAGGCCCCTATATTAATCCCTAAGCTCCAAACTCTACCCCTAAACACCCGAACCTGTACACCCCAACCCCAAACCTTCCAACCCTCAACACCCAACCCCTACAAACCCAAACCCTAAACGCCCAAACCTTCAATCCGTCTACCCCCTAATCCCAAACCCTGTAAAGAAGCCATCTGTCCCGAGCCAGTCTGGGACGAATAGGAGGAATTGAGGTGTCTTAGAGGGTTTCAGGATACACATACATATATATTTTTTGTACACAAAGACATATATATATATATATGTATGTATGTATGTAAATACATATATGTACATATATAAATATATAATATGTATATGTTTTCATCTGCCATATGTGTATATATATATGCTGTCCAGACATACATATATATATATATTTATTTATATTTATTTATATATAAGAGAGAGGGAGAGAGAGATACGTATGATGCATGATGATGAAGGAAGAACTGGCGCCTGAGAATAGTCAGACAATGATCTGGAGCACGCAACTTCAATCGGAAGATTCAAGACCAATCGGCTACTACACTCTGCTCACCCCAAAACCCTAAAGCCTAAACCCGAAACCCCAAACCCCAAACCCCAAACAGTAAGGAAGGGCACGGAAAGGAACAAAGAAAAATGTGTGCAGCCATCCAAGGATTTGGGCTTTAAGGGGCAGTTTTCAACAACAAATCCCTTTTGGGGCTGCCCTCCTCTTTGAAGTAAGTGCATACTATGGTAGGCGACTAAACCCCTAAACCCTAACCCTAAACCCCTCAACCCTAAACCCACAACCCCTAAACCCCTAAACCCCGTAAACCCTAAGCCCCTAAACCCTCTGAATGATGCTTTGGGAGTGTTAAGGGGTTAGACCTCTGAGTCTCTTCACTTTGTGCGTTTCAGACCTCGCAGGTTTCCAACGAACCAGCCAATGGGTACGGAACAGGGTTTAGGGTTTAGGGTTTAGGGTTTAGGGTTTAGGGTTTAGGGTTTAGGGTTTAGGGTTTAGGGTTTAGGGTTTAAAGGTTTAGGGTTTAGGGTTCAAGGGTTTGGGGTTTTTATAGGGTTTAGGAATTGGGTTCAGGGTTTAGGGTTCGCGCTGCATAGTAGGGGGGCTGGAAGCTGACATTTGGTTGGATTTAGGGTTTACCGCGGCCTGAGGGTTTAGACCCTAAATCCTAAATCCTCAGCCCTACACTAACCCCTAAACCCTAAACCCTTGGGATTTTGGATTGAGTGCTTCGAAACCGAGGCCCCCAACCCTAAACCCAGAACTCTTGACGTAAACACGGCAGGCCTAACACTAAACCCCCAATTGACACTTAACATTATGCTGCGTGTTGCAGAAGAAAGGAGCGGTATTCTGTCTTGTTGCCAGTGGATCTGCGTCTTTGCTTGAATGACAGAACATGCAGAACCTAGGGGTCCATGTACCTCTATAGGATATACTTGGGCCTTACAGGGGTTACCATGTAGTAGCTTGGGCCCAAGTATATACTATATAGGCTACTGAACTCTTTGGGAGACAGAGGCCCTACCCACAAGGATTTGCCGCACCTACCACGCAATCCTTGCGCACCGTTGGCCGGGTGTGAGGGCATGGTCGTCGCGGGCCGCGCTCGCTGACTCGGCGTGCATGCTTCAAGCGTGCTTTTCCGGTTTCCCTTCTGGCCAACGCATCCGGGTGCGGGATGCATGACAGCAGGACAAATGGGCTAATGTGCCTGCTGGGGGAAAGATGGTCCTGCGTAGCTTGCGGCTGACCAGTGGAGGGGAGGCTGCGAAGTTACTTGCATAATCTTGCCGTGGAGCATGACGACTTTTCGGATATGGTGTCATCATGACATACAATTTTGCTTGCGCGCTGCTAGAAGATGCGATGGCCTTTTTTGTTGGGTGCTGCAGAAGAAACAGCGAGATGATTGACATGTCTGACTTATTCTGCTGGACCGGTGTGAGGGCATGGTCGTCGCCGGCCGCTTTGCCGACTCGGCCAATTGACTCGGCATCTGCATGCTTCGAGCATGTATTTATGTTCCGCTTTCCCTTTTGGCCAACGCGTCTCGGTGCGGAGGCATGACAGCAAGACAAAGGGTCCTGCTGGGGGGAAAAATGCCGCAGCGTGGCTTGCGGATGACCGGAGGAGGGGCACTCGACTGCTAAGTTAGTTGTAGAATGTAACTGTGGAACAAGCCGTCTGACAGACAGCTGTTCGTAGGTTCACATGGCTTCATCATATGCCATCTTGCCTGCTCAAAAGATGAGATGAGCTGTTTTGTCATATCATATCTCCCATTGCGACAACATTATGACACAGAGTGCTGCAGAACGAAACAACAGGATTGTGACATGTTTGCAGTTAGCTGGATCGAGTTGCGGCTTGCCCACAACCGGAGGCCCTACCCACAAGGATTTGCCGCACCTACCACGCAATCCTTGCACACCGTTGGCCGGGTGTGAGGGCATGGTCGTCGCTGGCCGCGCTTCGCTGAGCGCGCATGCATCAAGTATGCATTTCCGGTTTCCTTTCTGGCCAACGCGTCCCGGTGCGGGATGCATGACAGCAGGACAAATGGGCTAACGTGCCAGCTGGGGGAAAGATGGTCCTGCGTAGCTTGCGGCTGACCAGTGGAGGGGAGGCCAATGACTCCCAATTAGTTGTTGCAGTCTCACAGCTGTAAATCGCAAGGCAGTATTGCTGTTAGCCCGGGTGTCGCGGGCGTTGTGGCCCAAACCAGTGCACCCCAAACCCCTCGATGGGAATGAAAGAGCAGCTCCTTCCTCTGGAGATCTCCTCGGGGGCTGGGGCCATGGTCGCAGAAGGCGGGTTTAGGGTTTCGGGCTTTGGGTTGAGGATTTCGGGTTTAGGGTTGAGGGTTTTCTGCAAAATCTCTTTTTCTACTTGTTTGCAAACTCAGTGCTCTGGCAATTTTGCGGGTTCTGGCCCCTCACGAGGTGGCGTTTAGGGCTGGGCCTTCGAGAGGATCGTGCCCTGTACGGGTTTCAGCATTCTCCAGGGATCCCAGAGACCTTCAAAACCGTAAGCCCTAAATGGGGTTTATGAAATTTTTGGGACCCTGAATATAGATCCCCTTATCTTAAGCACCCCAATAAGGTACCCCTAAATTTCGGAAACCCCCCAAATGCTTCGGGTCTTGGCGGGGGGGCAACCTCCAGGGCACCCAGAGAGCCGCAACACCTCTTGAGAAGAAGTTTGAGTAACCCTCAGTTTAGGGTTTTGGGCCGTTTAGGGTTTGGGGTTTAGGGTTTAGGGTTTAGGGTTTAGTAATTTAGGGTTTAGGCTAGGGTTTTTGCAGTTTACGGAGTATTCCTTATCATTAATAACTTCTGGAGGGCATATACATCCCATATGTGTTTGCATGAGGCTGCCAACACGGCCATTGTACTTACTTGGACCCTAAGAGACACAAACCGCCTTGACCCAAGTGAGGGGTTTAGGATCTGCTGTTTAGGGTTTAGAGTGTGCATGAAAGCTGAAATCACGTTAGCAATCACGTGCAGTGCGCAGTCTATTTCAGGAGTGGACACAGAATCTTTTTGTTGTTTTCATGGGGCTGATATGGGAACCTCTAGACGCCTAAACCACCCTAACAGATATAGGAGAAGAAAAGTGCCATCTGGGGACGGGGGGCGTAGAGCATGAGCGGAAGTAAATATACCCTAACATCACAATGCATAGGTTGCTGAGGAAATATGCAGGGTTAACCTAGACCTTACTTCGAAACCTCAACCGTGCACCCCGCAGACAAGGAGGTAGGGCAATTTTGGATTCAGGACGGTCGTGTGCATCCCGAAAGCAAGTGCCGTTGCCCTACTGTCCTGCTAGAAGGTGTGGAAGACCTGGAGCCAACACCGCAAGGCTGCTTTGGCGTTTGGGGTCGAGGGTTTGCGGGTTAGGGGTTTAGGGGTTTGGGGGTTTCGGGGTTTCGGGGTTTCGGGGTTTGGGGGTTTGGGGTTTTGTGCAGGGGCTTGGGCGTTTGGGGCTAAGGTTTAGTTAAGTCGGCAGTAGGGCTTCAGAAGAGTTTTGGGTGGAGCTGCAGTCGTGTGAAGGTTTGCTTGAGGTCCCTTTACTTGGCTGGTTCCCTGGACCCTAGACCCTAAACCCGAAGCCCTCAACCTTAAACCTGCTGTTCGGCCCGAAGACCTCTACCCGATAATCCTTCGACTCCGCGTGAGGTAGGGTTTGTATTCCCAGCTTGACACCCCATGTGTACACTCACCAATCCATACTTACATTCACCCTAAACCCTACACCCTGAACCCTAAACCCTGTCTACACTCACCATGAACAGCAATAGGACCCCCGACTTTAATTGTGGGCAACTCTTTGGGTTCTTCTGGGAGGTACTGTAAGTGTAGTAGAATTTCAGGAGGTGTGGCATAGCAGCCCCCCCCCCCCCCCCCCCCCGCCTGCAAAACAAAAACCAAAAGAAACATACACGTAAAGTATACAGTATCTATTCTATATAATAAGAATCGTCAGCATCATCATAATGGTAAAGAATGACCAAGAGGTAGGGAGCTGACTGTGCAGAGTAAGCATCTAGCATCGCCTCCTAGTCAGCACCTAAGCCCCTTCAACCCGCGGTTTAGGGTTTAGGGTTTAGGGTTTAGGGTTTAGGGTTTAGGGTTTAGGGTTTAGGGTTTAGGGTTTAGGGTTCAGGGTTCAGGGTTCAGGGTTTAGGGTTTAGGGTATGGGCCCTTACTATGGCCCCTAACCTCCTTGAAAGGGCTCTGATGTATGGCCTTAACATATAAGGGGTGACCATGCAACTACCCTTAGAACCTTAAACCCTAAACCCCATACCCTAAACCATGTAACTACCCTTAGATTGTAGGGTTTAGGGCTGCGCATCGAAGCCCATGAAGCTGTCACACCATCCCTAAACCCTACACCCTAAACTTCCGGTCTCTTCCCTAAACCCTAAACCCTAAACCTTAAACCCTAAACCCTAAACCCTAAACCCTTGAGGGTGTGAAGGTTGGGTTCAGGACTGAGGGTTGAAGGGTGAGGGTTCAGGATTCGCGTCCGTGTGCCGAACTGCTTGCGTACTACTTGCCTTGGGCTTCGAGATACTTTCTAGAAACACTGTTGGGCCCAGATTTCATGTACAGTTTAGGGTTTGGGGTTTAGGGTTTAGGGTTTAGGTTTGTGGTGCATGGAAGACAAGGACCTGGGGTAGAGGTTTAGGGCCTAAGGTGTTGGGTGTTTTGCAGCTTCGGGGGTGTTTGGTTTGGAGGGGTTTAGGGGTCAGGTACCCTAAATCCCTAAGTTCTAAAGCTGTCCACCCTATGCATGTGCCGCACGATTTCTGGCTCAGGGGCGTGCTTGGGTTTCAGCTCTTGTCACATACTCTGTATTTGCAAGGCATAGAGCTTTCACGCCCAGTTATTCTGAAATCTATTTTGGGTTTAGGGTTCTGTATCATGTTGCCCTCTGTGGGTTATGGGTACCAATTATCAACATACTTAACACCAAAAAGGGTACCAGCTTATTGCAATATGGTTTTTGGGCTACCAAGGATATTTGGGTTTAGTGAAGTCTGCATGCGGATGGTGCACGATTCGATGCACACTCTGAGCTGGATTCAGCAATGAAGGGACGTTGCGGCTTCAGGCGGCGCGGGCGATGAAGAAATGCAAGCCTGGCCCTGCCTTACTAAGAAACCCAATGGGCCCAAAAAGGCAAAGGATCTAAAGTTACAGTAAAGCACCACAAAGTTTCGAAACCCTAAACCCTAGACCATAAGACCCTAAGACCCTAAGACCCGAAACCTAAAACCGCAGACGGGAGCTTCCAATAAATCTAGGGTCTGTGTTTCGGTGTCTTTGCTCTGGGTTTAGGGTTTAGGGTTTAGGGTTTAGGGTTAGGGTTTAGGGTTTAGGGTTTAGGGTTTAGGGTTTAGGGTTTAGGGTTTAGGGATTAGGGTTTAGGGTTTAGGGTTTAGGGTCTAGGGTTTAGGGTTTAGGGTCTAGGAGGCGTTGCAGGTGAGATCATGCGCGAAGATCTGACTCTGGCTGCTTTGGCGGCCTCCCCTGGTTTGGCTGCGCCCCCACTGGGCCCTGTAGAACCGAGGCGGGGCCTTCTCTCCTCACTTAAGAACCAAATCAACACCAAAATTGGGACCTCCGAGTTTAGTGTCAGGTTTTAGGGTGTAGGGTGTAGCGTTTAGGGTTTATAATCCCTAATTTGGGTTAATGTGAAGCATAATCCTTTTAGGGCCCTGTAGAACCGAGGTGGGGGCCTTTTCTTCGTGGTGCTTTACCATAGCTTTTTAGGGCTTAGGGTTTAGGGTTTAGGGTTTAGGGCTTAGGGCTTAAGGCTTAGGGTTCAGGGTTTCGAAACTTTGTGGTGCTTTACTGTAACTTTAGAGCCTTAGCCTTTTTGGGTTTATTGGGTTGCTTCATAAGGCAGCTAAAAGTTCAACTTATAGCTACCCTACTAAGTGCAGCCAAGTTTTCCTCAAGAACAAAATGAACACTAAAATTGGGACCTCCGAGTTTAGTGTTAGGTTTTAGGGTTTAGGGTTTAGGGTGTAGAGTTTAGGGTTTACAATCCCTACTAGGGTTAATATGAAGCATAACCCTTTTTAGGGCTCATTTGGTCCTTGAGGTTGTCAAGACTGCAACTGGAGACCCTGCACCCCAAATTTTCAACCCTGGGCCCAGAACCTATCAACTCATGAGCCCGCCACGAAGAGAGATTCAAGCTTCGGGTCTGCAAATCCCTTTATAAACCCCTGACCCAAATAATCCCCTCCTTTTTGTTTTCACCAGTGTTTTATATTTCTGTGTATCGGTTTGGTTCTCTTTTTGCCTTCAGGTTTGGCCCAAGAGGCAATGCCTACAAGGGGTGTTTCATTTGCTCTTATTTGCTTAAGAACCCGCGAAAATCTTCAAAAGAATCCCTAGAATTACCCTTATAAGGAAGTGTGTTTTGGGGGGATCTTAGGCCAAAGATTAGTCAAGGGTGCCTCGTTTGGTTTGTTGTTTTCCTGTTACCCCTTATGCTAACAGTCCTTAGTAGGGATTTTGTCAGGGGGTACTATACCCCAAACCCTAAAACCTAAGCCCTAAACCTAAACCTGGTTAAGGATTGTATAAGGAGGAACATCCCACTTTTGGGCATCGTCGTGAGTAGTAGAGTTCCATATCTTTTTAAGGACGAAAGAAATCGGGGGCTCTAGGGTTCAGGGTTGAGGGCTTAGGGTTTAGGGTTCAGGGTTTCGGGTTTAGGGTTTAGGGTTTAGGGTTCAGGCTTTAAACCCTAAACCCTAAACCCTAAACCCTAAACCCTAAACCCTAAACCCTAAACCCTAAACCCTGCCTTTGCAACTGGCCCCATGAAGCTCAAGGATGTGCTCGCGAGTCACGCCTTCAGTACGACGCCTGGCGGCATCTTAGACGGCAGTGGCCTTATAGCCCGATAAATCCCTAAGGGTCCATGTACCTTATTACTATATACTTGGGCCCCAAAGTCCATATATAGGAAGTACTTTAAGGCCTAAGTAGTCCATATTTAGGTACATGGACCCTTAGGGAATCCTAAAACTAGGATCCAGAGTGGGCCCCTATTCCTTTTTTTTAGGGTGTGGGTTCCCAGGGGCACCCTTTTAAATTTCGAGGTTACTCCTTGGTCTAGAAAACCTAAATTGTGCGTGCATGAGTGGTGAAAGATATCGGGAGTTGCGTCACTGAGGTTTGGGTTGTGGCATCCAAGTCTAGATCTTCAGATGTTGCAATGTATTGGACCCACAGCGCAGAAGATGCCACTGCGGAAAGATCAAAGTTGCGGGGTTACGTGCGATGTCTGCGGCGCCGAAATGAAGGTGGGAGACCTTCTCCCGATGCGAGCATACAAGCCAGGCGCTTCTCACTTACACAAGTTTGTGGCCTACCTTTCCACAGAATGTGCCCGGAAGCTATTGGGCAAACAAACCACCACGTCGAAGTTGTTGCAGAAGCTTCGGGCGATTGCTCGCCACACGCAGGTCATGGATCTGTTCCGACAGCTTTGGGCGCAGTGCTCCCAGAGGATGCGTGCAAAGCTCACATCGATAGCTGAGGCGAAATGCTCTGGAGGATCCCCCCGGGCGAAGCAGATGCTGCCATTCGCCTGCCCAATGGCAGCATCAGTTTTGCCGACGTGGAGCTGGCCCTGCAGAAGACCAAGTGGAAGAACAACCATGGGCGAGCCAATGTGCGTCCGGCAGGTGTTGAGTCGATACTCGCCTTTTGTATGGGTTTGGTGTTCGGATACAAGAAAGGCCTCGTGTGCTCAAACGATGCAGTTCGCCGCCCAAACTTTGTGCAGCTGTTAACTACGAGGATGATGACGTGCAGTTCGTCTTGTTTAACCTCAGTCGCTTCATGGAGCTGAACATGGGGGACGTATATACCTCTTATGCACGTGGACAGAAAAAAAACGTTGGTCCGAACATGCTGGTTGGGCTGTCGAACTATCGGGGTGGTGAGCTGTGGCTGTTCGATGAGAGAGGCGATGTGTATGTCAAGCTGCCAGACACACTACCAGGCGCTTGGCGGCAGAGACTCTTCGAGTCTGCCAATCTCAAGAGTGGTCCGGCTGGTGAGATCTTGGTGCCCGGCATCGCAGTGGATGTGCGGCGAAGGTTTGTGGGCTTTGACGGCCGCTGGCCACATGCTGTGCTACCTTTTGAGGGGGAGAGGTTTTCTCTGGTTTTCTTCAGCCGCCAACTTTGCCAGCAGTTCATGCAAAAGCTCCGACGGTGGAACTTCAACTTCCCAGCCCTGTTGGAAATTGAGGCAACCCCCCAAAAAAAAAAGGTGCCCTTACGAACATATGGTTACTGGACTATGAAGGTGCTGTGTATGTGGGTTGGGCCAAGCATGATGCCGTAGAGAGGGACCGCATAGCTCAGAACTTGCTGTAGGCATCCCAGCTAGGCTGGCCCTCTTGGGATAGCGTACATCTTTCCTTCTTCTAGGTTCAAGAGAAGTCTATTTAGGAACATAGTTCGCAGGGTTTGCTAAGGGCCATCCTAGCCAGCGTCGGTGATGAGTTCTTCTCTGCTTGAGCCGCAGAAAGCGCAAGTGCCTAGAACCAAATGAACCTTACAAGGGCTCATGGTTCAGTATAGCCTTTTAAGCATGATTATTGTAGTATAGGGTGTATGACCCCACTTTTGGGGGGCTCATGGTTCATTTAGCCTTACGTAGTATTATAGGGTATATGATCCCAGCTTCAGGGTCCTCAAAAAACTTAGGTTTTTCAGGTGGCCCAAGCATTGTGCCCCCGGCCAACGTGCCACGTACAAAGAACACGTTTTCCTAAAAACCCTAACCCGCAAGCCCTAAACCATAACCCTAAACCCCTAACCCTCAAGCTCTAAACCCTAAACCCCAAACCCTCAAGCCCTAAACCCTAAACCCCAAACCCTCAAGCCCTAAACCCTAAACCCCAAACCCTAAACCCTAAACCCCAGCCCTAAACCCAAAACCCTAACAAAGTTGTGCAGGGCCCGCGCGGACGTGGACCTGGGGTGTGTTTGCCTCAGCGTGGTCAACCATGCCCCGCGGCTATGGCAAGTTCTGGGGTTTAGGGTTTAGGGTTTAGGGTTTAGGGTTCTGGGCCTACCTGGATGGTCTGTTGATTTGTGGGTCGGACAAATTACTCATAGTATTCCCTTATGGTCCCTATGCAGCCAGAATAACTCGGAAGCCCAGTGGTAATACCCTTTCCTTCTTTGTCTGGTTCAGACCCTGTAGATCGTAAACCCGGTCGTATCAACCCTCTTATGCCCATAGACCCTATAGTTAAAGCCGTATCAACCCCAAAACCTCAACCCCTAAACCCTCAACCCTAAGCCCTAAACCCCTAAATCCCTCACCCTTAAACCCTAAACCCGAAACCTTAAATCCCTAAACCCCTAAACCCTAAACCCTAATTAAACCCTAAACCCCTAAACCCCTAAACCCGAAACCGAAGCCCTAAACCCGAACCCCCTAAACCCTAAACCCTTAACCCCTAAACCCTGAACCCCTAAACCCCTAAACCCCTAAACCCCTAAACCCCTAAACCCCTAAACCCCTAAACCCCTAAACCCCTAAACCCCTAAACCCCTAAACCCCTAAACCCCTAAACCCTAAACCCTAAACACCCAGGATGGTCAACACTGGCACCTTCTCCGCAGGCGCCGCGGCGCTCAGCCTGGGGCTGTCGGTGCCTTCGGAGACCCCACTGGTACGCTTTGCTTTTGGGGTTTAGGGTTTAGGGTTTGGGGTTAGGGTTTAGGCTTCGGGGTTTGGGTTTAGGGTTTAGAGTTGAGGGTGCTATATGTTGTTTGTTGGCTTTATATCCAAGAGCCATACATACTTGTAATTAGGTGACTTTCAGTGTCTGCGGGGCGCCCTTTGCGTTAATCGTTTCGGCTGTTTCAGTGTGTTGCGGTGGAGGTTTAACTTGTTGTCCTACTTTAGGTTGCACCAGAACCTAGGTGCCCGAGACGCTGGCGGGACAGGCCTCGCCTGAAGTGCTGGGAAACGGCCTTTTGCAAGAGTTTTGGGTTTGGGGCTTCAATATGATTCAAGTCAATGGATATTCTTGACTTACGATCTGGATTGAATGGCCCTGCAACCAAGCGGTTGCGGATTGTTACTTCCTAGTAGCCCTATATGCTCGAGTACAAGTCCTAAACGCTATAACCTAAGCCCTACACCCTAAACCCAAAAAAACTAGACCCTAAACCCTCAATCCCAAGAGGCGGTGGGTGCCTTCATACTTGCCGTCGGCCTAGCCTTGAACGCGGCACCTGGCGTGAAGCCGCCCACCCGAGACTTTGCTAGGTCTTTAGGGCTTGTTTGGGGGGTTAGGGGTTTAGGGTATAGGGTTTGGGGCTTTTTTAGGGTTTATAGGGGTTGTTTAGGGTCTATAGGGTTTGATGGTTTTGTTTAGGGTTTATAGCAGAGTTTGTTTAGGGCTTATAGAGTTTGCTTAGGGTTTATAATATAGGTTAGCATTAGGGTTTATAGTATAGCTTTTTAGGTTTATAGGGTTTGCTTAGGGTTAGTTTCGGGTTGAGAGGGTTTAGACGGTTTAAAGGATCGTTAATACAAGTGGGAACATCCCAACTCTAAACTCTGAACCCTGAACCCTAAGCCCTAAACCCTAAACCCTAAACCCTAAACCCCAAACCCTAAACCCTATAAACCCTAAATCTTACGTGAACCCCAGGGTCTCTTGCAAGGGCCCCTCCTTCAGAGACTCCCTGTCGAGCCTTGGGTTGAGGATTTTCGTTGGGGACCGATTTAGCGCGACCCTAGACCCTAAACGCTATAAACCCTAAACCCTGAACCCTAAACCCCTAAATCCTAAACCCTGAAGCCTAAACCCACAATCCTAAACCTTACACCCCAAATTTCGTCTAGGGACTGAAGAAGGGGTGAGGCCGGTTGATCGAGCTACTGCTTGTCGTTGAGGGGACGTTTGACTTGGATAACCTTTACCTTTTTGGTTGTGGGTCCCCTATACAGCCAAAACGGGTACCAATTACATGGTTTAGGGTTTAGGGTTTAGGGTTTAGGGTTTAGGGTTTAGGGTTTAGGGCTTAGGGCTTAGGGCTTAGGGCTTAGGGCTTAGGGCTTAGGGCTTACTATACGAAGTCTACCTTGTCAGGGACTCACAACCGAAGTTTTGGCAGCTATCGCCCGAATTGATTGCAGGCCCCTCTGAACGCCAGCCCAAGCCCCAAAACGAGTTGCCCCAAACCCTAAACCCTAAACCCTAAACCCTAAACCCTAGAATGGAGAATTTAGGTCTTCATGTCATGCCAGGGGTTTAGGGGTTTAGCAGCCTGCATGATCTGTAGCACCACAGGCGCCAAGTTTAGATTCTTGGGTCAACAGGGCTCAGGGTTCATCACCGAAGCCTAACCCGCCTAAACCGATCAAGCCCCCTAAACCCTCAACCCTAAACCTCTACACCCTCAGTCCCTAAGCCCTAAACCCAACCCAAACCAAAAAAACCTAAACCCCCTAAACCCTCAATCCCTAAACCCTATCACTTCTTCTGAAACACCAGATGTGTCGTACTGCCGATGCTGGAGCCCCTAAGACCCAGGCTGTCAGACCGCTTTGACCCCTAGATTTTAAGCCTCCAAGGAACGAACAGAACAAACACAGGCGATGACACATGTTTATGTGTCTTTTTGTATATGTTTGTGTTTTGTGACCACGTGGTTCCTGATGTTGTGCGTCCAGAAACGGACGGGGAAAGAGAGAGAGAGTCTTTTGCGCTGCAAGCAAGCAAGCAAGAGCGAGAGAGAGAGAGAGAGAGAGACAGAGAGAGAAAGCGAGAGAGAGAGAGAGAGCGAGAGAGAAACAAAAAGCGGGAGAGAGCAAGAGAGGGCGAGCGAGCCCTACTTATTGAAATACAAGCGAAGAGCATCCAAGAGTTAGGTATGGCATTCCCTTTCCCGTGCTGGCGCGCAGCTCCTTCGGCAGCGGAGGCGTGATGGCAAGACAGCATTCGCAAGTCTACCCTACCAACCTGGGGGGCCACATGATCCCCAAAAGGGTTTAGAGTTTATGGTCTATGTACCCTAACAGGGATGATGGTAGTAGTAGTATAGGGGGTCGGTGACCGCAGTTTTTGGAATCATGTGGTCCCCAAGCAAGTTCTGGAAAGCCCTAAACCCTAAACCCTAAACCCTAAACCCTAAACCCTAAACCTTAAACCCTAAACCCTAAACCCTAAACCCTAAACCCTAAACCCCGCTCTTAATAGCGACGTCATTGCAACCTGCATCCCCAGACCCTCAACCTCAGGGTCCATGTACCTGATTATAATATACTTGGGGTTTAGGGTTTAGGGTTTAGGGTTTAGGGTTTAGGGTCCATGTACCTGATTGTTAGCAAATTGGCCCCCAAAGTCCCTATGTAGGCAGTAATTTAAGGCCCAAATATTCCCTATCTAGGCACATGGACCCTTAGGGATTGGAATACTTAGTATTCCCTATTTAGGGTAGATGTTCGGGCTCAACCTCCGACAAGAAAGCGCTAGAACCCAAGCCCCAAAACTGACCTCCCAAACCGTATCAACCCCGCACCCCCAAAGCCATCAACCCTAAACCCTACAAACCCTGTAAACCCTGTCTACCCTACATTGCCCTACATGCCCTATAGCCCCAAACAAGCCCTATCAACGCTATAAACCCTGCAAACCCTAAACCCTACATCGTGGAAACCCTAGAAACCCTCCAAACCCTAAAACCTGAATCCTAAACCCTAAACCCTAAACCCTAAACCCTAAACCCTAAACCCTAAACCATAAACCCTAAACCCTAACCTAAACCCAAACAAGACCTTAAACAGCCATCAACCGAAGCCTCTCATCCATCCCTGAGGCACTGAGGCATGAAACCCCCTCATAGTACCTTGTAGGGCTGGTGTTGAGGCTGAGGGGGTTTAGGGTTTAGGGTTTAGGGTTTAGGGTTTAGGGTTTAGGGTTTAGGGTTTAGGGTTTAGGGCTACCTGGCCCCACATCAACAAGGAAGCCAAGCGCAGGTGCCCACTTCTGCACGCTCACAAGAGGGGCGGTGGCCATCATGTGGCTATCCTTCCAGCTGCTTGCGCTTCGAAAGAGCTCCTAGACCCCAAACCCTAAACCCTAAGTTTAGGCTTTAGGCTTTAGGATTCAGGCTTCAGGGTTTAGTGTATAGGGTGTAGGTGCATCACGGGCAGGGATTCGCAAGAAGTTCTCCCCACGTCTAAGCCTGTAACTACACCGCCGTGCGCCATGCGGCGTCATCGTCCTCACCCTGAAGCAACCCTAAACCCTAAACCCTCAGCCCTAAGCCCTAAACCCTAAACCCTAAACCCACTTCGCGGCACACCTGCAACGTGAAGACCACTCTCAAGCCCAAAGGCCTGTTGCCCTGACCCCAACTCCGACTCCCAAATGGGGGTTTACGAAAACAGGGGACCCCTTCCCCAAATAGTAGGAACCCCTCATGATAAGGACCCCAACAAAGTACCCCTACTGTCGGAAACCCTTCAATCTGGAATCAACGTTAAGCCCCAGACTCCAAAGCCCTAAAAATGCGTTTAGGCTCATGGACCCTCAAGGGTTCAAAACCCTAAACCCTAAACCCATAAACCCATAAATCCCAAACCCCAAACCCTAAACCCTAAACCCTAAACCCTAAGCCCTAAACCCTAAACCCTAAACCTTCACAGGTCCTGGCAAGGCGCTTTGGGGCTCTACGCTGCCCTGGTGCGCTGCGTAGGCGAGGAGGCTGTGCATCGCTGGGGCACGATAGCACCTTGGTCCACTTGTAAGGGGTTTCGGGTTTAGGGTGTAGGATATAGGGTTTAGGGTTTTATCGGGTTTCTTGAGGGTGTTAAATGGCTTCAAGTTTGGGGTGAGGCTTTGACGTTTATGTGCTTAAGAGTTTGGAGTTTAGGGTGTAGGGGGGTCTTCCGGTTTGGGTTCGGGGATTCAAGGTTCGAAGGAAGTCTTTATGATAAAAAAACTACACAATCATGGAAACACCCTTCGGTACTGTATACACCCTAAACCCAGCTCCCCCCCCCCCCCCCCTCCAACAAGAAATGCCCAAATACCTAGCTTCAACCTGCACCTGACCCAAAATAGCCAAACCACTACGAACCTCAACTCAGGTCGGGTTTACGTGGCGCTCCCTTTACCTACAGTTTCATGGGGTATACATACCTGCTACATAAAGGGCACTTGCTACGAAGCTGTAGGTACCGAGGGTCCCAGGTAGGGTTTAGGGTTTAGGGTTTAGGGTCTAGGGTTTAGGGTTTAGGGTTTAGGGTTTAGAGTTTAGGGTTTAGCGTTTACTGTCCCAGGATGATGAACTCGATGCTGCAAAGCTGATCATTTTTGTGGCCTTGCGCCCAGCATGGCCCCTGCACTGGCTTTGGGTTAGGGGTTTAGGGGTTTAGGGGTTTAGGGGTTTAGGGCTTTAGGGCTTTAGGGGTTTAGGGTTTAGGGGTTTAGGGTTTAGGGTTTAGGGTTTAGGGGTTTTAGGGGTTTAGGGCTTTAGGGTTAAGGGTTTAGGGGTTTTAGGGTTTTGAGGGGTTTCGGTACGGGCTTGAGAAGATTTGTTGGATCTGGTGGTTAAGGCTGTGTGTGTGGGTGTGTGTCGATCGCAACTCCTCAGGGCTGCTCAACTCCAGGCATCTAAGAGCTGTGCAGTACTTTTAGGGTTCAGGGTTTAGGGTTTAGGGTTTAGGGTTTAGGGTTTCCCAAGCCCCTCAGGACCTTCCATCATCCCCCCTAGCAGCGAACATGCGCGTAAGGCCCAAAGGTTTCACCCGCAAATTCACCCCTTCACCCCGTTCATCCCTTCACCCCTTCACCCCGTTCATCCCTTCACCCCTTCACCCCTAAACCCCTAAACCCCTAAACCCCTAAACCGCCTAAACCCCTAAACCCTAAACCCTACACGCTTCACCCCCTCAAGCTGCTGGTAGTTCTGGGTCGAGTTGTTGAACTTTGCAGGCTTGACAAGCGACGTATCGGAGTCTTTCGGGTTTAGCTGATTCGTGTGAGACTTCTTGTTCTTCAGGGTGATAGTTTTGAAGGCCTCAAGAATTTCGGCTGCCTGCATACTCGTTACTTACCTTCTATTTTGTTGTTATAAAATGCACATATATATATATATATACATATGTAGAGATAATAATGCATGTAAATATATAAATAAATATATATATATATATTCCTTAAATGATCATTCACCTATTCGAATATGCATTCCTTTAACGGTTCCTACAGTCCCCTCTAGCACAGGCCCAAGGTTGGAGGCCATACTGCCTTACTTCAAACTCGGTTTAGGGTTTAGGGTTTAGGGTTTAGGGTCAAGCCCCCCCAAGCCCCAGAGCCCAAACTCCTATGCCACGCCCTACTTGAGAAACCAGGGGCTTAGGATTCTAGGGATGTAGGGGTTAAGGACTAAGTGAAGGATTTAAGGGATTTAGGGGTGTAGGGGTTTTGGCGTTTAGGGGTGCAGGGGTTTAGGGTTTAGGGTTTCCAGACTCAACCTCTAAATCCTAAGAAGCCTACCCAGAATTGAACAAAGGACCTCATGGGTTTACATACTCTGGGGGAGCTTAAGTAAACCCTCAAGCCAAACCGCATCTTTCATTTAAGTGCGCCCATGACCCCTCAACCCTAAACCCTCAACCCTAAACTCTAAACCTTAAACCCTAAACCTTCAAGGTCTACTTGCTGATGCATGCGGTGCTCATCCAGCTTGGCTTCCAGACGCTTGTGCTGAAACCCAGACAGGGGTTTACGAAAATAGGAGACCCCCAAAGGAACCCCCTAATAGGGTTTAGGGTTTAGGGAGTTAGGGTCTAGGGTTAAAAGGACCCAGGACACCCCCAGACAATTCCAAACAGAACCCCCTCAGACCTCTATTCCCCTCCCTTGTCATGTTGACTTCCGATCAGTATGCAGTAACTAAAATCTCGGCGCTGGAAGAGGAGGAACGAAGAGAGTCAGCCATCCGAAAATCAGGCCAAGGGCTTAGGTAAGGGTCCCACACCCCTACGCGTTAAAACGAAAACTTAGAGAACCCCAAGCCCAAACCCCACAAACGAAACCCTTTAAGATGCTTTTCTTCCTTACAGCGAGTCTTGGTCTCCCTGGATAAGATAAAGTCCTGTGCTGAAGCGAGGGGTAAACTCTGCAAGCGCGCCGCGCCGAACACCTGCAACTGCGAAGACGTCGAAAGCACCCCCGCCTCCCTAAGCCCTCACAGCCCTTAAGCCCAAACCCTTCTTTTGTAGGTCACTTAAGAGCTTGTTCGCATCAACCTACAACGAAGCGAAGTTCTCAAGGTAGCGTACCTGCAGCCTAAACCCTGAACCCAAACCCTAGACTCCAAACCCGATAAGCCCTAAACCCCAAACCCTGAATCCTAAACCCCAATTGACCCTGAACCCTAAACGCCAGGAAGCTGAAGCGGGCAATCTCCTGGGCACTCCCTAGTCTCGTCATCGGCATGGGCGGCATTGCTGTGCCTGGGTTTGCGTGAAGCTCGGGGTTTTTGGTTTAGGGTTTAAGATTTAGGGTAAAGCCCTAAACCCTCAATCCTGCACCCTGACTTCTGGGTTTGGGTGGAGGGGCTTCATTAGTTTGGTGGCGCCGCGCGGGGGGGGGGGCGGGGTTAACCCTAAGGTTACAACCAAGACTCCAGTAGGGCTTGGTGCTGCCGAAACCCTGAACCCAAAGCCCCCTAAGGGCCAAACCCTAAGCCCTAAATCCCAAGCGCTATAAACCCTGAAACCTAAAACAGCTCGGAGACTTCGAAGGGCTGAGAGGGCCAGAGGATGTAATACTTTCTCTAAGGTTTTCGGTTTAGGCTCCCCTTAGTGGCCTTCTTTATCATTACGATTACGACGATGATGACGATGATGATGATGATGACGATGATGAGGATGATGATGATGATGATTGTGATGATGATGATTGTGATGATGATGATGATGATGATGATGATGATGATGATGATGATGATGATGATGATGATGATGATGATGCTTATGAGCACTATTTTTGCTTCTTCTTCTTATTATTACTATCATGAATATCATGTATACATATATATATATATATGTATAAATACATATACACATATATATATATATATACTTGATTTGTTTTTGTGTGTTTTTGTTGGCGGGTCAGTTTCCCTTATGAACCGCGTTATGCGCATGAGGGTGCGCAGGTGCTTATGCCTGTAGAGTTGCCCTGGCTTTTTTTCCCAGCGGCACTCAGTTCTCGATCTCTTCAAGCAGTTATATCCTTCAAATCCTCCCCGTCCCCCCCTCGACCGTCCATCTCCGAAGCCGCAAAGCCCCAAAGCCACAAACTCGATAAACCGTGAAAACCCCGTAAAGCCTATAAACCTTGCGTCGCTCTTGCTGTCGCGTCCGCAGACTGCTCTTTCATAAACCCTTCAAACCCTATAAACCAACCCTAAATCTTGGGATGTTCCCCCTTATACTAACAGTCCTTCATCGGGATTATAAGTATAAGGGCGAACATCCCAACCCTCAACCCTAAACCTCATACCAGGCGCTCGACCCCTTGGCTTCCCCGGCCCGAACCCTAAACCACCCTAAAGCAACCCTAATGCAACCGTAAACCCTAAACAACCCCAACCCCCCCTCCCCACCCCCACATGGGAGTTTACGAAAACGAAGGCCCTATAGTACAACCCCAAGGTGCACCCAACTTCGGAAACCCCAATATCCCTAAACCCTAAGCCCTAAACCCTAATCCCTAAACCCTAAACCCTAAACCCTAAACCCTAAACCCTAAACCTTCGCTTTTCAGGTTTGGGCAGCCACCCTCAGCCCTATCTCCGAGGCCCTTGAGGCAGCAGAAGCATCTCGGCCAGGGTTTTTTTTCGGGTCTAGAGGCTTTGGGGGTTTTGGGTTTTTGGGGGTTTAGGGTTTTGGGGTTTAGGGTTTGGGGGTTTAGGGTTCTTGGGGTTTAGGGTTTGGGGTTCTGGGGTTTTGGGGGGTTCAGGGGTTTGGGGGAATACCCCTAGAGTTTGGGGTTGTTGCCCGTTCGGCTCTAGTCTCGGGTTTTTCGTGTTTCCTGGTTCCTCGGTTTGTGAGCTCTTCTCTCTTTTTTTGCTTGTGTACTTTTCTTGAAGTTTCAAGAGCTTTGGGGCTTTGGAGTTTCAGGGTTTGGGCGTCGCTGGGTTTGGCAGGGTCTTGGGGTGTGGGATCCTTTTAACTCTTCGAAAGGTATAGGATGTAGACTGTAGACCCTAAACCCCGAAAACCCAAACCCTGAGACCTAAACCCTAAACCCTAAACCCTAGACCCTAGACCCTAGACCCTAAACCCTAAACCCTAAACCCTAAACCCTAAACCCTAAACCCTAAACCCTAAACCCTAAACCCTAAACCCTAAACCCTAAACCCTAAACCCTAAACCCTAACCAGCTGTCATCTCAAGGAGAAAGGCGTTGACCACATCGACGGCTCCAATGCCTGGGGCTCAGAGGAGATGGTTTAGGGTTTAGGGTTAAGGGTTTGGGGTTTAGGGTTTAGGGTTTAGGTTTTAGGGTTTAGTGTTTAGGGGCTTCGGGGTTTAGGGGCTTCGGGGCTTAGGGGCTTAGGGGTTAGGGTTTAGGGCTTGGGGTTTTCCCTGTTCCCTTCTTTAGGGGTCAGGTTCCCGTTCTGCACCTGCGTCCCCAGCGCCCTAAAGCCCTAAACCCTCAACCCTATTTCAGCACAAACCCTAAACCCTCTTTTTTTTGGGGTGTTTAGAAAGCTGCAAAAGAAGTAGGGCCCAAACAGCCCGACAAGCCCGAAGCCCCAAAGGAAATTCACAAGTGAAGCCTTCCAAGCATGAAGCCTCATCTCGGAGCCTCTAATCCCTAAAGTCTAAAGCCTAAACCTTCTCACCTCCCAAAACCCTAAACGCTCAATACATGAAACCCTTCCCCCGAAGTCGACACCCGATACTCCGAAGCCCTAAGCTCACGCCTATATAAACCCCAAACCTTCAACCCTAGACCCTGAACTCTGAACCCTGAGCCCTGAACCTGAACCAAGCCCCCTAAGGCCTCAATGACCTTCAACTCCCTAAAGCCCCCCCCCCCCCTCAACCGCGCCCCAAGCGCTGAACACTAAACTCTCTATTTAAGGAGTTTAGGGAGTTCAGGGAGCTTAGGGTCGTGGGAGTTTAGGGGGTTTGTCACGTTCAGGGCCCTAGCTCCCTCACCCTGAACTCCCTAATGACTCCCTGATCTCCTAACTTCTCGAAACCCTAAAGGCTAAACCCTAACCCCTAAGCCCTAACCCCTAAACCCAAACCCCAAACCCTAAACCCCAAACCCTAAACCCGAAACCCTAAACCCTAAACCCCAAACCCTAAACCCTAAACCCACAGGTTGTAGCCTTCCTGTCAGCGGTGAACTCCAGTCTGGGTTCTTGGTCAACGCTGCTGCTGACCCTTGGTAGGGTGTTAGGGTTAGGGTTTAGGGTTTGGGGTTTGGGGTTTGGGGTTTAGGGTTTAGGGTTTAGGGTTTCGGGTTTCGGGTTTCGGGTTTCGGGTTTCGGGTTTCGGGTTTGGGGTTCGGGGTTTGGGGTTTAGGGTTTGGGGGTTTGGTTGTATAGGTCGGGTTTGGGTTTGGGGTTTAGCGTTTACTCCGGGTTCAAGCTTTGGGCTCTCTTGCTTAGTTTGGGGCCGTTTGGGGTTGGGAGTTTATGGCTGAAGGGGCTTTAGGGCTTTGGGGCTTCATGGCTTACGGGCTTTGACGCTTGGCGGGGCTCAGGGCGTTACGATGTTTGTGTGTGTGCCGTCAACCCTAAACCCTAAACTCTAAACCCTAAACCCTGGTCTGCGATTCTTCCGGGGGGCTTCAGATCTCAGGGGGGTTGGGGTTTTTTGTTTGGTTTGGGGGGCATTCAGAGCTGCAGGAATCCCTCTGTAGGTGCCTATTTGGAGGCGCTGGTACATGTTCTGGTAAAGCAACATCGTGTATACCAGCAACACTGTAGGGTACCCTCCCCACCCTCGTAGGTTCAAGTTAGCTTCCTTAAGCCCCTTTGAACCCGCGAACTCCCGAGGAATGTTTGTGACCTTAGCCGCTTCTCACCGACGCAGAAGGCCCGCAGCTTTCCTTTAGTGGGAACCCTCCGGAGAGGGAACCGCAAAGACCCACCAATGCAGGGTCTACAAGGGTTTAGGGCGTAGGGTTTAGGATATGCAAGGTTTGCAGGGTTTACAGGGCTTATAGGGTTGACACGGTTCGTCGCGTGTATATAAATAAAATTAAATCAGTATATATATATATATTATATATACACATACACATGTATATTTACCTATTTATATTCACTTTATTTAGGGCTTATGGATTCTTAATCGGTTGTTGTTAGGGTTTACAGGGTTTGCAGCGCGAAAAAGGTTACTAGGGTGTTAAGGGCTTTTTCGGCGTTGATAGGACCGCTAGGTCCTAGAGGCCTTACGGGGTTCAGGGCCATCCTTTAACCCCCCAACAGCGCCAACTCCTTGAAATTCACTCTCTGGTGAGAACGCTCATAGGGTGTAGGGTTCTTGTTGCGTTCACTGGTTTAAGGACGCAACGTGTTTTAGTTCGAATTGTGGGTTCGCGGGCTTGAGATGAGAAGGCCCTTTAAGCCCGCTGGCCCTTGTCCGTCCCTTTCCGGGTTCGACACTCTCTTGCGCCTGAAGCCCATCAGTTCTACCCTTGTAAACCCGAAGCCGTAAACTCTTATGAATATAACCCCCAAGACCCGGAGCCATATAGAGAGCCCAAATAGTATAGACCCCACACCCCACAAGCCCCCAAAGGCCTGGAGTTCTTGTTGCCAGGATCAAGTCGTTGGTCAATCCGTGGGGGTGCCAGTGCCCTTCCTCGCCACCTTGTTCGTGGGCATGCGCCTGCGACTGGCAAGTGGGATCCGGGGGGTTCAAGGAGGCCCTAAATCCTAATTTAGGGTTTAGGGTTTAGGGTTTATGGTTAAACCCCAAACCCTACACCTAAACTGGCTTTGGGAGAACTTCCAATTTCCCTTCATTCCTCGTCAGGGAATCCCTTCCCAAGGGTCTTAAGCACCCCTGAGTAGCTCTAAGCCCCATAAGCCCTAAACACTAGCCTTTCATACATAGCGGCTTTGTAGCAAGGCCTGTGTTCCCTATTTCCCACTTCGCTCAGCGAAGTTTGTTGATTAGAGAGGGTTTAGGGTTTAGGGTTTAAGCCTTTCAGCTTTTCATTTCCGTCAGCTCCTTCATGTCCTCCCTACATATTTAAATCCTAAAGCGCCTTTCTTTCCGTGTTAATGATCGGCCCAGGTCTAAACTGGTGAGGTGCAGGGACACCTAAGGCCTAAGGCCCCAAGGCCCTGACCCCAAGCTGGGGGTTTAGGCGTCTTCGGTTAGGGGGCTGCAGGGGCTCAGGAATTGGGGCTGAGGGTTTCGGGCAAACCTTGTACCCTCAACCCTGCAAAGCCCTAGATCCAAATCCGAAATCCTCAACCCAGACAGACCTCAAAGCCGTGCACGGCTCAACTTGCAGGTTCAGGGTACTCAGCAACCTAATGTTAGCCCTATTCGGGTACTTAAAGGGGCCTACCAGTGGGTGATAGCTACACTTACAAGTGGCTACTAAGTACGCTGAACCTCCAAGCAAAGGTGGGTTGCTGGAGCCACGAAAATGGCATTCGGCACCGCAGTGTGGCAGTTGCCCACCGTCTTTGGATGCTCGAACTCTCTTGGGAACTCCCGGGGTTTTGGGCGTTTAGGGTTTATAGGGTTTATAGGGTTTATAGGGTTTATAGGGTTTATAGGGTTTATAGGGTTATAGGGTTGATAGGGTTTATAGGGTTTATAGGGTTTATAGGGTTTATAGGGTTTATAGGGTTTACAGGGTTTATAGGGTTTATAGGGTTTATAGGGTTTATAGGGTTTATAGGGTTTATAGGGTTTATAGGGTTTATAGGGTTTATAGGGTTTATAGGGTTTATAGGGTTTATAGGGTTTATAGGGTTTATAGGGTTTATAGGGTTTATAGGGTTTATAGGGTTTATAGGGTTTATAGGGTTTATAGGGTTTATAGGGTTTATAGGGTTTAGGGTTTAGGGTTATAGTGTTTAGAAGATGTAGCTAGTTTTGAAACGGGTCAGAAGGTTTAGAAGGTTTGGGTCTACGAGTCTACACGGTTTTCAATGTTTTGGGTCGGGAGGACTCCTTGTAACGTAGAGGCGTTCTTGGTATTTCCGTAAACCCTAAACCCTAAGCCCTAAACCCTAAACCCTGAACCCGTTTCTTTTCCTCGGAAGCCTGAAAGCACCAAGCCCTAAGCCCTCTCTTGCTCTGCAAGGTTTTGGGGCCCCCTGGTGCTCCAAACAATATGCTAAAGAAGGGACCAGGGTTTAGGGTTCAGGGTTCAGGGTTTAGGGTTTGGGGTCACGGGACGAAAGGAGGGACCCTCATAAGTTATAAGGGACCTTACTGGTTCTTTGGGGTTTGTTAACGGGCTACTTAGGTGTAAAGGGACGATAGCGGAATAAGAATAAGGATCCCTCCAAGTAAACAACTAGGATGCCCAGAAGTACCGGATGCCCAGAAGTACCCTTATTCCCCCCGCCTTTTTTTGTTTGAGGGGCGGGGGGGGGGGGGGGGAACGGGGCAAAACAAGCCTAGCTTACTGGGCAACCTAGATAAAAGAGCAGCAACAAACAGACCTCTACTCTTGGGGTCTAAGTACTGAAGCCTGTGCCTTCAACCCCTCAACCCGACATCCGAACCCCCGTGTACCTTTCTTTGTGGGTCTTGATCACCAAGTCTCTACCCTGAACCCTCACTCATCCCTGAAGCCTGTTTCGGGAGATTTTTTGCTAATTCTGGAAACCCTGAACCCTAAACCCCAAACCCTAAACCCTAAACCCCAAACCCTAAACCCCAAACCCTAAACCCTAAACCCTACAGTGAGCCCTAGGATACTGGCATCCGGTGATCAGCGCCTTGGGCGCGGTGGTTCTGGCGGTGGGAACGCTGGTGGCTCATCTCACGGAGTTGGTTAGAGGGTTGATGGTGTGACCTAAGCCCTAAACCATTAACCCTAAACCCTAAACCCTAATCCCTAAACCCTAAACCCTAAACCCTTGCCCTAAACCCTAAACCATAAACTCTAAACTCTAAACCACTATCAGGATTGTAAGATATTGTAAGGTTCTGGGGCCTCAGGCTGGTCCTTGAGGGAGCCATAGGGGAGGGGGTCCTCAATCCCTATCGTTTCCTAGGTGCGTGTCCTCCCCTTGGGACTGCTTTTAGGGTTTAGGGTTAGGGCGTTTAGGGTTTAGAGGTTAGGGTTTGGTGTTTGGGGTTTAGGGTTCAGGGTTTGGGGTTTGTGGTTGCCTTGTGAAGCCTTGGACCCCTAAACCCTCCTAACTCCTCCACCTTAGACCCTGGACCCCAAGGACCCTACAAGCCCTTTACATCCTACAATGCCCTACAAGGCCCTGTCAACCCTAGAATCCCTAGAACCCCTCTCAACCCTAAAAACCCGAAAAATCCTCAACCCTGCCAACCCTTGAAACCCCACAAGCTCCCACCCCTCAACCCTCTGTCATGCTGGGGTAACATCTTACATGCTTAAGGATGCTTAAACACAATAAGGAACAGAATTTTTTCAATTTTTCATACTATCCAACCATGAACCAGAACCCCTCAGCCCCTAGACCCTAAAACCCTAAACCCTAAACCCTAAACTCCCCCCCCCTCCCCTCCAGGTGGTGAACCTCCTAGCCAACATCCTCTCGCCCATCAACGACGGGCCCTGAGTTGGTTCTGAAGCTGTTACCCTAGGGTCCATGTACCTAAATAGGGTTTAGGGTTTAGGGTTTAGGGTTTGGGGTTTAGGGTTTAGGGTTTAGGGGCGCATCCCTGAGGGCCCCATGTAAGTAGGGAAGACTTGGGACTTGAAAGTACCTCCTATATGGGGACTCTGAGGCCGAAGTATATACTTGTCAGGTACATGGACCCTTAGGGTTAGACTCGTTTGGCGTTGAGGGTTCAGGGTTAAGGGTTCGGGGCTTAGCGGTTTTCTAGGACGCAGAGTAGGCCCTCCTTCCCTGGAACTTCTTGAAACCCTAAACCCTAAACCCTAAACCCTAAAAAGGCGTTCTGGGTCGCTCTGGATCTAGGTGTGGTGTGGGGGAGGGGGGGGGGAGGTAAGGAGTTTGAAGGAGGTTAAGTGAGGCTGTGGTATTTCAATTTTTGTTGGTGCATTTTGAGCCGACAGAATAGGGTTCAGATTCGTGGGGGCTTGGGGGGTGACAGGGTCGGTAGACCAAAGGACTTGAGACAGGCACGCTGGAAACCCCTCAGCCCTGAACCTCTAAACTCTAAATCCTAAACCCTAAACCCTAAACCCTGAACCCTAAACCCTAAACCCTAAACCCCAATCCAACCCCCCCCCCCCCCTTCCCCTGAACCAAGGACATCATGAACCTGGCGCCGAAGACCTTCACGTACCGCGGATGCGGCTTCTTCGTGCCCCGGCTGCATGTTTTCTTCACGGTTTAGGGTTTAGGGTTTAGGGTCTATAGGGTTTAGGGTTTAGGGTGCTCTAGATCTCAGAAGGTACCCTAAACCATCAAAACCCTGAGTTTGGGGGTTTGCGATTTAGGGTCTGGGGTCGCGGGCTTCTGTTTCAGGATTCCGAGCCCTGAGCCATCAAAACTCTAAGCCATCTAAACCCTGAACCCTCAACCCTGAACCCTAAACCCTAAACCCCCTAAACCCTAAACCCTAAACCCTAAACCCTAAACCCCCTAAACCCCCCCCTATGCCTCCAAGACCGGGGCCCATGGGCCCCCAGGCCCCAGACCGTTGGGAAAGGCCCACGAGTCCCAACTCGTGACCTCAGGGTTTAGGGTTTAGGCTTTAGGGTTTAGGGTTTAGGGTTTAGGGTCTAGGGTTTAGGGTTTAGGGTTTAGGGTTTAGGGTCTAGGGTCTAGGGTTTAGGTTTTATCCAAAGTCCTAGCTGGCCCTAAGCCCAAAGCTTACCAACTCCTCTAAGCGCTACAGCACCCAAAACCTGTAAGTCCTTGCCCTCACAAAACCCTCAATCCCTAAGGACCCCACGCCCCGAAAGCCGGCAAAATCTAAGGCTGGAACCCTAAACCCTAAACCCTAAACCCTAAACCCGTAGTATGGCCCCTTACCGTTTAGGGAGATCCGAAGTGTCGGCCCTTATTATAAGAGTTATGTAACAAGGGACCCAAATTTATGGGCCCATATTTGGAACCCTAGAGGCAAAAATGACACAACCTAAGGGCTAGAATCCCAAGCCCCTACATCGAACCAGGCCCTGAAACTCTCCAAATTCAAAATGGGTTTAGGGTTTAGCGTTCAGGGTTTAGAAAAATCTCTCTACCCCGAATCCTAGGGTTTAGGGTTTAGGGTTTAGGGTTTAGGGTTTAGGGTTTAGGGTTTAGGGTTTAGGGTTTAGGGTTTAGGGTTTCCAGGTTCTTCTCCTGTCCTTTGCGGTGTGCCCCTGGTGGACCTTCTCCGGCAAGGTGGCTTGCGGCGGTTTGAGGTTCAGGGTTTAGGGTTTGGGGTTTAGGGTTTAGGGTTTAGGGTTTAGGTTTAGGGTTTAGGGTTTAGGGTTTAGGGTTTAGGGTTTATAGGCCTTCGGCTTCGGGACTATAAATCTGAAGGCTGTTGGGTTTGGGGAGGTGGCGGGGAGCCTGCTGACAGCCTGTACTGTACAGTGCTAATGGGCTTTAATCAAGAAGTAGAACTTGCAGTGAGTGGGAAGCAACCGCCTCAAAGGATACCCCAGTTATGGAGGTAGTGTCCTTCTTTTAGAGTGACATGGATAGTTCTCTAAATTCTATTGGGTTTACTGCAAGTGGGCCTAGGCCCAACCTTTAAAATCCGTAACCCCGTAAACGCAAATCCCTAAACCCTTCTTGCTTCCTTGTTTTAGAGAACTACCCATGTAAATCTGGTTGAGGGTTTGGGGTCTACGGTCCAGGGTTTAGGCGGGCGGTACTTCATCTCCAGAATGCCACTACAAATTGATCTGAGTCTAACCTCGAGGGTCCACTGATAGTACGATTGTGGAACTTAAGTACCAAAAAACCAGACAAACATATTTTGGGGCACCCTGTTCCACAATACTAGAACAATAATCTAGCCTTGGAATGTTCCCCCTTAAACTACCAGTCCTGAATAGGGATGATAATACGGGGTACTATAATCCCTACTAAGGACTCTCAGTATAAAAGGGGAACATCCCAAATCTAGCCCCTTAACCCTGAACCCTAAAAAGCCCTCAGGGTCCATGTACCTAAATGGGGGATACTTGAGCCCTCAAGCACTTCCTACACAGGGACTTTCGGGCCCAAGTATATACTAATGAGGTACATAAACCCTGAACATAACCTAAGGATCCCTAAACCCTAAACCCTAAACCCTAAACCCTAAACCCTAAACCCTAAACCCTAAACCCTAAACCCGCAGAGGTGTCCTTTATCCTCAGCTTTCTGTCCGGCTACGCCATGGTCACCGGCGCCATCGCCGGGATCTTCCTCTGCGACTACTGGATCCTCAAAGCTCGGATCCTGGACCTCCAGGCGTGGGCTTAGGGATTAAGGATTAGGGATTAGGGTTTAGGGTTTAGGGTTTAGGGTTTAGGGTTTAGGGTTTAGGGTTTAGGGTTTAGGGTTTAGGGGCTCGAGGAGTTGGGAACTTCAAGCTGCTTGAAGACCTGAAGCCCTAGCCCTTCAAGCCTTCACCCCATAATCCTCCCTCAAAACCCCCTGAATCCCTAGCCCTAAACCCTAAACCCCTAACCCTAAACCCCTAACCCTTAACCCTAAACCCTAAACACTAGACCCTAATCCCCCCCTCTCAAAATCCCCTAAGCCCATAAGCCCCTAAACCCAGATATGTCCACCAGACCTCCATTAAATCCTCTAACGCCCCCTAGCGGTGCGGCCCCTAAGAGGAACTGTACTCTGCCACGGGCGTGAACTGGCGAGCCCTGCTTTCCGTGGCCGTGGGCGTGGCACCCTGCTTCCCAGGCCCCAGAGGGTGCGAATAATATTTCAAGTATCACAATCTATATAGCCACGCACAATCAGACAACCCCATTCTACTCTGAGTCTTAAACCCTAAACCCAGCAACTAGGGTCCCACGGCATTCTACCTCCAAACAGAGTAGAAGCCCTCCTAAGACTTACGGTTGCTTAGCAGGGAATGAGTGAACTAGGGCCCCATATATGCCCTTCAACGGATTATATTGGGTCCCTCATTCCCCCATTCCCTACAAACCAGCACTAAAGAACACCCCTCAACTTCAAAACCCTAAACCCTAAACCCTAAACCCTAAACCCTGAACCCTGAACCCTGAACCCTGAACCCTGAACCCTGAACCCTGAACCCCAAACCCTAAGAAAACCCCTCAAGCAGGCTTCCTAGATGCGATCCACGCCGGCGACGAAGGCCACTTCGCAGATTCGAAGTCGGCTAGACCGGCAGTTCTCTACCCGAAGGGCTATGGGCCCTTATTATGTGTGTGTGTGTGTGTATATATATATATATATGGTTCAGCGTCGAGCGTCCTGGGCCCCCCCCCCCCCCCCCAAGCCTACTCTACGGTCCCTAAACCCTAAACCCTAAACCCTAAACCCCTAAACCCTAAACCCTAAACCCTAAACCCTAAAACCTAAACCCTAACCCTAAACCCTAAACCTTAAGTCTTAAACCTTAAACCCTAAACCCTAAAACCCTGAACCCTAAACCCTAACCCTAAAACCAACCCCCAACCACACCACAGGGGGGGGGGATCATCTTAGTACCCCATCCGCGGGGAAAACCCTAAACCCTAAACCCTAAACCCTAAACCCTAAAACCCTAAACCGTAAACCCTAAACCCTAAACCCTAAAACCCTAAAACCCTAAACCCTAAACCCTAAACCCTAAACCCTAAAACCCTAAAACCCTAAAACCCTAAAACCAAACCCGGGGGGGGGGGGGGGGGGGGCACACCAGGGGGGGGGGGGGGGTACCATTGGGGGGGGGGGGGGGGGGGGGGGGGGGGGGGGGTAGGGGGGAGGGGGGGGGGGGGGCCCGCCGGGGCTGAATCCTATATATATCTCTCTCTTTTTGTGGCTGCATAGCAAGGGAAACAAATGAAGGGCCCATACTTCGGATCCCCTAAACCCTAAACCTCAAATCCCAAACCCCAAACCCCAAACCCCAAACCCCAAACCCTAAACCCTAAACCCTAAACCCTAAACCCTAAACCCTAAACCCTAAACCCTAAACCCTATAAACCCTAAACCCTACCTGGGGCCCTCTTTGCCCCCAAGGCCACGCGAGCTTGGTGTCTCCCTTCTGGGCTCACCTCTACTCGGGGGGCTCCTGTCTGGTCTCCTTGGCCGTCTCGGGCACAGTGTACCCTGGCTTGGTCTAGGGTTTAGGGTTTAGGGTTTAGGGTTTAGGGTTCAGGGTTCAGGGTTTAGGGTTTAGGGTTTAGGGCTTGTGGTTGAGGATTTTCCGGGCTTAGGGTGTAGGGTTTAGTGCCGGGGCGTGTTTGGAGCCAGTGGTCTAGATGCGCAGTCTCAGGTTCTACCTGTTGAACTTTGTCTGGCCAGAGGGCGGAGCCCGCGGCAAGCAGGAAAGTCCGGCGAGTCCGCTCAGCAGCGCCGTCACCGTCAGGGTTTCCTAAACTTGGACCAAGAGTGGGCCCTTATGTCCTTTTTAGGGTGTAGGATCTCTTAGAAACCCCTTTAAACCAAAAAGGGTACCCTTTTTCTCCTGCATCTAGTAAATGACCCCGGCCATCTGGGTGTAGGGTAAATGGCCACTGTTAGCTGGGTTTGGGTCCCCAGAAATTGCAAGTAGCCAAATGGAGGTCCCGGTGCTGTGGGGTTTCGAAACCCTAAACCCTAAACCCTTGACCCTTAACCCTAGGCCCTAAAGCCTAAACCCTACACCCTCAACCCTCAACCCTCAAGCCTCAACCCTAACCTAAAACCAGGATGAGGGTTCTAAGTTGGGAAACCTAGCTCCTCTGTAGGCCTTCCTTAGAAACAGGAGGCCTTCAATTCCAGGCATTCGCTTGCAATGCGATGGCTGGGCCGCTTGTATAGTCCTGCCTAGAGTAACCCTTAAAAACCAAAACAGGTTTAGGGTTTAGGGCTTTAGGGTTATAGGGTTTCGGGTGTGGGGGCTTTGTCCATGGTATCTGGTTTACTCTAGGCACGTCCACTTGCCTGTTTTACGTCGCACGACTGAGGCCTCGTCACTATCAGGGGGCGAATAAACCCTAAACCCTGACCCCAAACCCTAAACCGGCCTGGCAGCGCAATGAAATGTAGACCCAACCTAAAATTCCTCTCAGCCCACCCAAAAGCGTAGACCCCAAGACCTGTACATATGGTCACTTCTCTAAACGCTAACCCTAAACCCTAAACCCGAACCCGGGGTATGGGCTAAACCCCAAACACCAAGCCCTAAACCCTAAACCTTAAACCCTTAAACCCTAAACCCTAAACCCTAATTCAGAGAACTGACCATAGAGTGCCTTCAGCAGGGATCAGCTCAGCACTTCTCCAGGAGCTGGCGCATGTCGGATTTCGGGCTTATGGTTTCGGGCGTATGTCCCAAATCTATCTATCTATGTATTTATCCATATCTATCTCTCTATCTATCTATATATATATGTATAGAGATGTGTATTATGTATTTATGTGTATAATATATATATATGTATGTCTGTATGTATGCATATATATATATATGTATATATATATATATATGTATGTATTTAATATATCATATATGTATGTATATATTCAGTCAGTATGTATGTATGTACGTACGTACGTACGTATGTATGTATGTATGTGTGTATGTATGTACGCATATATATATATATATGTATATAGATATATACACATATAAGCTTCTTGGCCCTTTATGAACCCTCTTTCATAGTGTTGGCGCACTGTTTGGGCCACCCAACCGAAACCCCGAATCGAAGCGAGCACAATCGCAATCCCCGCGCGAGACCCTCAGTCGTGCAGTGGGATCAGACGAGCCGGGTCGAGTTGTAAAGACCGGTAAAGCAAGACTCGGCAAGCCTGGCCAGACGGACAGAGAGCACCAAGAGTGCTCCTCGGTAGCTCCTCAGAGAGCTCAGGGCAGATGCGACAGCAGCAGTTCAAGCAGCCTATACATGTCGCGTGAGAGAGAGGAATATGTCATGTACGTTATTTTTGCTGAAGGCCTGCATAAACAGTGGTACTCACGAAGTAACTCGGAGTATGCAGAGAGTAGACATCAAACTGTGAGACATCTTGCCTTCATCTCTCCTGGCCGTTCCTAGACCTCTGGTTGTATCGGCATCTCATTGGGTAGACTCTGGGATCAATGACCCTGGATGGAACCCTAAGCAATAAACCCCTAAACTCTAAATCCTAAGCTCTAGACCCTAAACCCTAAACCCAGGGGTGATGGAACCAAGAAAAGAACCACAATCAGAAGTCTTGGTATGACTGCTCGATCCATTCCGTGCAAGAGGCCGGAAAGCTCAATATGTTGAGCTCTTTGCTGCGGCGGCTCACGCAACTCAGACTCAGAAAACAACAGCGGAACACATTGATTAGGCCAATCCACTCCAAAACCCAAAAGCCTCAAACCCTAAACCCCAACCCTAGACCCTAGAGACCCTAAGGGCCTTTCGACTTTCGGCTTCGCATGTTTGGAGTTGGCGTGCATCTGACTCTGAACCCAAACAGGGTCTGCAGCGCAGAGGCTGCGACAACATAAACCCTAAAACCCTCTAACTCTATAACCCAAGAATTCCCTTTAGATTCTAAACCCTAAAACCCCAAAACCCCAACACCCTAAAACCCTAAAACCCTAAAACCCTAAAATCCTAAAACCCTAAAACCCTAAAACCCTAAAACCCTAAAACCCTAAAACCCTAAAACCCTAAAACCCTACAACCCTACAACCCTACAACCCTACAACCCTACAACCCTACAACCCTAAAACCCTACAACCCTAAAACCCTAAAACCCTAAACCCTAAACCCTAAACCCTGAATGCTGTGCTTTGCTCTTGCCGGAGCTGCTGCAGGATGTTTTTGTGTCGAGCATGCTCGAGGTGCGATCAGCTGCATAGCATCCTGAGCCCCCCCCAGAAGCCGTTCAGCATAACAGAAGGTGCGAAGGGCGCCTTTTAGGGTTTAGGGCTTCTTAGGGTTTAGGGTTTAGGGCTTAGGGTTTAGGGTTTAGGGTTTAGGGTCTAGGGTTTAGGGTTTAGGGTTTAGGAGATACTTGGGCCTTAAAAGGTTTGCCATATAGTCTTAGTAGCTTTAGGGCCCAAGTATGTACTCTGCAGGTAAACGGACCTTTTGGGGAAGCCGTCAAGCATAGAGAATGTTCGATTGGCACCTTAAAAGGCGTAGTTTTTAGGGTTTTTGGGTTAGGGTTGTTTTTTGGGTTTTGGGTTTAGGGTTTGGGGTCTACCCCAAGACCATGAACCCAGGAAGCTATACAGCATTGACTCCGGCCAGCGTGGTGCAAAGCAAATGGGAGTAGGCTCGGGTTCCGGGAGTACGGGTGCGTTCCGGGAGTATGGTGTTTCGGGAGCTTGGTATGTTCAGTTCTCAAAACTGTGCTCCCCTTTTGGGGGGTACCCTAAATAAGAGGGGCCGCCTTAGAAGAAGAACCCCAAAAGGGTCCTATTTCAGAGAAGTTTCAGGGTTGCTAAGATTCAAGCCTGGAGGCTTCTATATCCCCCTTGGGAGTTAGTTTCTTTCTCTATACAAAACCCAAGAGGATATTAAACATATTGTGTTTATTAAGGTTCTAGGGGGAGTATAGGTGTAGAGTTTTTAGTTTAGGGTCTCTTGAAGTATTCGGGCTTAGGGATTGCGAGCCCCGGTTTAGGGTTTAGGGTTTAGGGTTTAGGGTCTAGGGTTTAGGGTTTAGGGTGGGTTTAGGGGGGTTGAGGGTGTAGGGTTTAAGGGTTGAGGGTTTAGGGGTTTAGTGTTTAGGGTTACCCACAGACCCTCTGCTTGGTGGTTTGGGTTCAGGGATTATTCGGGGAACCCGGTGCAGGGCGGACACGATGTAGGTTTGTTTTTTGCAAAACAGAGCTGAGCTCTCTAGTTCCAAAACCCTTGTTCTTAAAACCCAAACCTACTTCTTTGTAAATTCCCAAATAAGAATCCTGCAAGGGTTTTTAGAATAAGGACCTCAACCACACCGGGTCTTGGGCTTCTTACAAGGTTCACCCTAAACACCAAAACCCTAAGACACATCTCCTAAAAGCCTTGCATGATTTCCTGGGTTTCCGCGTCGCCAGAAGCGGTTGGGGGTTGGGGGTTTGGGCTTTGTTTTACGGTTTAGGGATTTAGGGTCCCTATAAACCCAAAACCTTAAGCCCCAAACCCTACACCCTAAACCCTAAACTTTAGGGCTTGCAGGACCATGCGGCCAGGGAGGAGGTTCAGCAGGCGTTCTCCTCCGTGATTCAGGCCGCGGCGGTAGCTCCGCGTTTAGGGTTCAGGGTTTACAAGGTTTAGGGTGTAGGGTTTAGGGTTTCGGGCAGCAGCTAATATATAGTTGCTCTTGTAACCCCCAAACCCTAAACTCTAAACCCGCCCCAAGGGCCCATGTACCTTCTCTAGGATATACTTGGGCCTTTAAGGGGGTTGCCATATAGTAGCTTTAGGGCCCAAGTGTGGTACATGGACCCTTTAGGCCGGCACACCCTCCACACCCTCCACACCCCTGAAACCCTAAACCCTAAACCCTAAACCCTAAACCCTAAACCCTAAACCCTAAACCCTAAACCCCCAATACCGGAGCCCTGACTTGGTGGTTCTTAGAAGGCAATTAGGTTCTTGCTTGACGAACCTTTAGGGTTTAGGGTTTAGGGTTTAGGGTTCACTGCGGAATCTCTTGAAAGGGTTGTACAAGTGGATAGTCGGCACCTAATTCTCTAAATCCCTCTTCAGAACTAGCAAGCTAAAGACAAAGCCCTAAGTAGGGCAGACTCCCTGAAACAGGAACTGCGGCTGGGTTGGGTCAGGGATGGGGCCTGAGGGTTTAGGGGTTCGGGGGGTTGGGTTTCGGGTTGGATTTCTGGTTTGGGGGTTGGTTCGGGGTTTATTTATGCTTTGGCCATGCAGCCATGTACTTTCTCCGGCCCTTCGCAAGCAACTACACATACTGGTCTTGCGAAGGTCCCCCAAAACTTCTTCTCTAAGCTCAACAACCGAAGCCCACAAGCCCGTGAGCCTCTGAACCTACTGAAACATGAAAACCCTCAAGTCCCCAAGCCTATACTAGTCTAAAGCCCCGAGCCCGCGAATCTTAAACTTGCCCGAAGACCCCTACTGGCTTCTCAGCCCTATGTTGCACCCTCATACCCCCTCACCCCCAATTTAAATTTAACCGAAAGCCCACACCTCAACCTCAAGCCCTTCAGCCCTTCGACCCTTCGACCCTTTAAATTATAACTTAAGCTGCAAAAGCCGTTTTCCTGAACCCGAAGCCACCGGACTCCGCGAACCTTATGAACCTCCTAAACCCTAAACCCTCAACTCTCAACCCTCAACCCTCAACCCTAAACCCTAAACCCTAAACCCTAAACCCTAAACTAATCCTGGCAGCGCCTCTGTGCCCGCCTCGATGCCGTGGACTTTCGTCT